CTGGCTCTTTTGTCAAAGATGAGGTAGTTGAGTATATCTGGTGTTTCTGAATCTTCTAAACTATTCCACTGCTCTTTGGGTCTATTTCTTTTCCCATAACATACTGTTTTTATCACAGTGACTTTGTAGTATAGTTTCAAGTTGGGGATTGTGATACCCTTTGCCATGTGTCTGTTACCTATTTTCGCTTTTGCTATTCTAGGTTTCTTCTGGTTCCATTGGAATTGTTGGACTGTTTTCTCAATTCTGTGAAATATACTGTTGGTATTTCAATTGGGATTGCATTGAATCTGTATAGCAGTTTTGGAAGTATGTTCATTTTCACTGTGTTGATTCTTCCTAGCCAGGAGCAAGGGATGTCTTTTCATTTTCTGTTTTTTTTTTTTGTACTGGGGATCAAACTCAGGTCCTTGCTCTTGTGAGGCAGGCAGCAGAACCACTGAGCTAAATCCCCAGCCTTTTCCATTTTCTTATATCCTTTTCTGTCTCTTTTTTTTCAGAGTGCTGTAGTTTTCAGTGTAGAGATCTTTTGTCTCTTTCATTAAATTGATTCCTAGATATTTTATTTTCTGGATGTTGTTGTGAAAAGAATTATTTCCATAAATACTCTTTCAGTGAGTCTATATAAAAATTGAAGTCCACTGAAAAAGTGAAAAAAAATCTCTGTGGTAAAGGCACATCACACCACCATAGGTGTTGTAAAAGAAAGTGATTAGTCTCTAGACTCCTTATTGCTGTTACTTTGTTCTGTTCTTGTATATATTTTGTTCTTTCATCTCCTCTTCTCTTCAACAGCTTCCTAAAGATTGTGTGCTCTTCCTGGGTCCTCTCACCCCACTTCTAACCTTTCTCTAACCTATCTATCTATCCCTCCCTCTCCAACTCCTTCTAAGTCTCCATCTTTAAGGATAAAGTTGCTATATGGAAGAATTTATTAGGAATTACTCAGAAAGTTTTTTTGTGGCTGCATTTTAATAGGTCTTAATTAAAAATTCTAAAGTTAGTTTTGGAAGGGTCATGAACTAAATAATTTATGTTTCTCATTTTGTAGCCACTTTTAACTATGTCAAACTCTCAAAGAAACTCTTACTAACTCTATCCTTTCAATATCTCCAATTGATATCCTCACTTGTAGGCTGTTTGAAGATTTACTCCAACATATAGAGCCCTGAAGATACATAACCTGTATCTAGCATTTCACTCTATTCACCTGTGTCACTACTCTGTGCAATTTGCTTCTATAATCCATTCTGAGGTGTTGTACTGATGATGGTCACCAACAATGTGTTTGTTGGTCTCTTGCGAACTATAGATATGGCATTTGTTTTGTAGTTATGCAACCTTCTCTCCTGGGAATGATTACTGTTATGTTTTGTTATAAATTTTTTCTTCATTACTAATAAAGAATCATCGAGGGACAAGTGAATCTTTTGTAATGCAGAAAAAGCAAAGAGGCAAAAAGTGCAATCAGGTTTCAAAAGCTTTTCATGCGAGAATATTCAAAACAAAATGGAAAGGTTAGGGAAATCATCTCAGAATATACATTAATTAGAGGGGAAAATCATAGGAGGTCGTTCTACTGAGCATCAACTCAGCTTGAATCAACAAATGAAAGTTGAGTCAGCTCCATCCCATTTTACTTGGGCTAGTATTCTGCAAATTATATTTCCACAGAACTCTTTTGCTTAGTGATTTTCAGTACTTGTAGGAAATTGGAAAGAACAATGTGAGAGAAGGTTCTTCTGCTTCTAGCTCCTGCTGAAATTTCCTAGCAGCAGTTGTGGCTCTAATACACTTAGTATCATGGTAGCTTCATCCCCTCCAAGTACCAGCGGCGACCATGTTATTTCTCTGGGTAATGACACTACCGCCCATGGCATGTTCTCACACCCACTGGGTACACCCCATGGATTCTTTAATTAACTACCAAGCTATTCCATCTTCTGAGAGGTTTTAGCACCAGACCTCCAGGATTTCTGTTCTGAAGTCTTAATTTCTAACACTAAATCCTCTGCTTTGCAGGCATAAGAAGAGTAGCCATTATGTTCTACTGTAGACATGCAAGTTTCCTTAACATCCCATCTTCGTTCTTTCAAACTTCTATATCATGTAACTGATTCTCTGTAATAAACCCTTTCCATTTGAAATAACTATTACTTTTGATTTTTTTAGCTGAGTCCTAACAATTACAGTGAATTATATACAAGAAAATAACATTAAAGCAGCAAATGAGGGTAAATATTTTAGATATTTCATAATATATGAGAGACATAAAATAGACAATGTAAAACAGAGTAAGTAATTAAAGTAGCCTGTGGTAGGGTTTATGAGAGACAGGGGAGAGAAGGAGAGAGAGAGGGAGAGGGAGAGGGAGAGGAAAAGGGAGATGGGGAGGAGGAGGGAGCAGGAGGGGGGAGAGACTTGTTTTTTCAGGGAGCAGGCAGCAGAGTCTAGAAGACATTTATGAGGAGATATTTATGAAGGTGATATTTAGAGTACAAGGTTATTAGTTCATAATATAATATATCACTTTTATATCTCTTAGTGATTCTTACTAAATTATTTTTTAAACAATAACTATTTTTTAGGACCTAGTATTAGTTTAAATAGGATCCAGAAACAACTACCCTTTGGGTTGTCTTCTCCTAGCTTAAAGTCAGAATTTCTACTACGGAGTAGGGAAATATACATCCTGGAAGTTCCTCAGAGCTGTCTCCTGACTTCAATTGTGAATGGTCCATGCAATGTTAAAGGCTGTCCTAGAAAATCTGTCTTAAAACACAAGACCGTCCTGACAGAATATAAATCTATTCTTTGTGATAGCATGGTTCTGCCTTGCCTTAGCCCCCTCCTCTATCCTATTATGGATTAAAAAGAGACACTACCATCTGTGGCATATTCCCATACCCACTGTGTACACCCCATGGATTCTTTAATCAGCTATATTATCATATATACCATATACATCATAGAGTTATGAATGGGATATCTAACCACCAGTGTATTCATTTTGGGTGAGTTCATGCCTGAAACTTGAGTGAAGTTTTATCTGCAACTTAACTGGGATAAGTGACCCAGGTAGAAGCCTAAGGAATTTTGCTCTCTTGCTAAAAGCAAGTTTAAATCTTAAAACCTTGCCATTTTCCTGTAAATTACAAGTAGATAGCAGAGATAAAATTAGCTGTGTGTCTGTGCTCACATGAGTGCCTGTGAATGTGTACAGGAACAGAGACAATAAGAAGTTCAGTTGTAACTTATAGGAGGGTGTGCTCAAGATTAAAACAATTCTTCAGTCAAAGGAAAAAATTGCCAGGAGAAACCTTCTGACTTTCATGAGCTTTAAACACCAATTCTGCCTACTTCTCAATATGCAGGCATCTGGAACAAGATTTGAAAACAATTTATCAAACCCTAAGAGTATATCTTTTTCACAGATGCCACATGACTAAGTCTGCTGTTGTTAAAGACAAACAATTATGTGTTCTACTCTCAATTTAAAGAGTTATAGTCTTTGCAAAGGGTTATATGAGGGTATGTTGGGGGCACTAACTAAGGAAACAGATACTTAAATCTCAGTATCCATTCTACTCATCAGTAGACAAATCATTTCAATTCTCTGAGTGTCAACTTCTCATCCACAAAATGTGGATGATAATACATACTTCCCAATTTTGTTCTGAAGTATGAATGAACATTTTTAAACAGCAGCTAATAGTGCAGTTATAAACAATCAACACGTTAAAAGGTTTTATTTTAAGGGTTATCAGTTAATTTCTTTTTCTTGAGACAACTTGATAAACTAGTATCCCTGAGGTAAGCCATAAGGCCAAGAAAACCATAATTTAATGGGTGCATAAATTAATTTTAGTTTAGTCTTCATTACCTTTAAGTGCTATCCATAGCAAACCTTAAGCTTCAGAGAGAGAGCAAAAGGCATGTGACTAATACCTGTGGCAGATGAGCTTGGCATCCCATAATAAACTTGGCCTCTGATGGAGGGATCCAGCTTCCTCCCATTTTGCTCCAACTCCTGAAAAGTATATGTTATTGTTGAAGGAATTAGTCAAAGTAAAAACAAAACAAAACAAAACACCATGAAACAAATTAAGCAACCAGGAGGTCTTTATTGGCAAGTTAATTTAGAAAGTAGTATCTTATTACATGTCTGCATTTGCTCCTGCAGAAAGGAGAGATAATTAAAATGTTTATCTCAAATACTTCCTTCAACTACACAGACTAGTGAGTCATAAGCATAATAAAGACTCATTGCTTTTTATACAGAGTTTCCTGTCTAATGAATATTTAGTGAAATAGATTTAAGGTTAGCTTGTCTTTCCTGTCCAACCTGTGTGAATCACTGGCCTCCACTTTTACCTGTGCTGCTGGGGATATCTTCAAAGCATGATAAGCAAATTTAGATTTACCTTAGTGCATAAAAAATAGAAAAATAATAATCTCCTATAAAGCCATTAGAAACACAAAAATGGATAACTACTGTGTGCTTTTCTTATATGGATACTTAATGGATATATCTTATGCACCAAGCATTGTAACAGATACTGTACCTTACAAACATTGTCTCATTCAAAATTTTGATTATACTATACTGAAGGATTTAAATTTTAAAAACATGCAGAAGGAGTGCAGTCTAGAGAAAAAAGCTTTGTTGGTCCCTAGAACAGAGTATTAGGTCTATGTCCTACTTTACAGATTTAGTTTCTAATTTAGCTGGATCCCACCTTCCAGAGCCTAGTATTTTAAACACATGTGCACTTTTCTATGACTTTCATTCATTGTTTTTCACTAAATTGAAAAACCTCTAATCACAATAATTCACGTTGTTACTCAAGAAGTTGTGTTTTTCTAAAATTTATATTGGGAGATGGGGAATAAATGATCTCTGTTCCCGAGCATCATGCTCAATTGCTTGATTATTTTCATTCTGGGAATTTTTCCTTGTATATGTTGTGCTTCACAGCTTGAAAAGAGTAGGATGCAGATTAATGTGGCAGGGGAATTGTTTTTTCCACAATTCTACAGAGAGCTGATTTGAACTCCATATTTCTTAAGCTGTAAATCATTGGGTTGAACAGTGGAGTTAGGATAGTGTAGGATACTGATAGCAGAACATCCTGGCTTGAGGAGTAATTGGATTTGGGCCTTAAGTAGATGAAAGAGGCACAGCCATAGTGGACAATGACAACAATAAGATGCGAAGCACAGGTGGAGAAGGCTTTGTATCTTCCCAGTGTGGAAGGAAATTGGAGAATGGCCGAGATGATGTGAATATAGGACACCAAGATTAACAACAGGGGGATAACCAGAACCAAGGCACAGAGCATGAAGATGATAATCTGACTAAAGTAAGACTGCTGAGTAGCCAGTTTCAGGACAGGGGAGATGTCACAGAAGAAGTGATGGAGCTGGTTGGAGGAGTGGAAAGGCAGGTCAAACACCAAGGATGTGATGATCTGTGCCACCATGAAGCCACAGGCACAGGCAGCAGCCACTAATGCCGCACATACCCCACGTCCCATGAGCGCCGTGTAGCGCAGGGGGTTGCAGATGGCCACGTAGCGATCATAACCCATGGCTGCCAGCAGGAAGGAGTGAGAGCAGCCGAGAAAGAGGAAGGTGAACATCTGGATGGCACAGCCCAAGAAGGAGATGGTCTTCTTCTCGGTCAATAAGTCAACCAGCATCTTGGGCACAATCACAAATGTGTAGCAAGTCTCAGAGCAGGAGAGGACAGACAGGAAGAAGTACATGGGGGTGTGCAGGGCTCTGTCCAGCACAATAGTGGCGATGATGATGGCATTGGTGCCCAGAGTGAACAGGTAGATGAGCAGGAAGATGACAAAAAGCAGCTGCTGCAGCCCGGCCAGAGAGGAGAAGCCCAGGAAGATGAATTCTCTCACCACAGTGTCATTGAACCACTCCATAGAGGGCACATCATCAGAAAGCAATCCGGGATCGAGGAGGAGATAGCCCCGAAAAATCACTGAAAATTAGGTCCACCGTAAACTGATCATTGCAAAGCACACGTTCTCAGATTTTGGGTTCAAATTTAAGGTTATTTTTCCTTCTCCTCCTCCTCCTCCTCCTCCTCCGCCTCCTCCGCCTCCTCCTTGTCCTTCTGGTACATGTTTACAATTCACGCAGTTTACAATCATCGTCTAGGATAATGGCTGCGTGTACACAAACATATTAAAAGCCCCTTCCCGCTCCTTCTCCCCTCCTCCTTTGGCTAATAGTTAAAAAATTCCTGACTGTTTATGTTCAATCATACTTTGTCTGCATTCCCATGATGAGGTGGATATGTGGATCTTTAACTTCTCTCTTTAAATGCTGCATTTGTCTATTTGATTTGCTTGCATTCCCATTCTCTCAATGAAAGCTTTCCCACATTTGCAAAACAAAACCATCCAAAATTACTACGCTTAGGTACAAACCTTCTTCTCCTCACGCTGAATCTCCTCATCTTAATTTTAGTATTTCCGTAATCTGGACCTACACTCTTTCCTATTCTGTGAGACGCTTTAGTTCTACTTTCTCATGCTCTAGTTATGCTGCCTGCCATTTCTGCATATTTCTTCTGCTCTCAAGGCTGGGGATGTTCGGTTTGGTTTCTTTCTACTCATCTGTGCCAAGGTAGTATATTTTCTGTACTTTCATCACCTATTCTCCCCTACAGGGAGAACCTCAGTCTTTCTTCAGGACCCTGGTCCATTCCGTTAATTCCTGAACTCTTATGGGAACAGTATACGGCTCTGTTTGCCATTGGCATTCTCGCATTACTTCAACGTATCTCTCCTTCTATTCCTGATCAATCTTTTGATATATGAATTTATTCCATTACTCTTCTCAAAATTTTACTCATGGGTACAGCATGAACTTTAGTCTCTATGGTTTTCAACATCTTTCATTTGGGAAACTACCCTATGTTTTCAATGCCCCTCTGTAGACTTTTATGGGATGTATTATTATAATTAGGAAAAGAACTTTTGACTTTATTTGTTTCTATTGCTTGGTCATGTTAATTATTGCGCATCTCATTTGTATTTACAGTTATTGTATGGTTATTCTGAGCATCACACTCATGGCTATGCTTTTTGGAAGCTTCTCTGGTGTTTCCTAATGAATGAAGTTGTTTCTTCCTTAGAACTCAGGTGAGATATCAAGTGACAGTTTGATGCAACTTTTACTTAATTTCAAAATATTGCATTAAATTACCCTCATATCTAAGTTCTGCACTAAACTTTGTAATCTTGAGGGAAAGATGTGAATTTATTCATTTTCACTTGCATTCCCCTCAGCTTCTAGACCAGAGTAAGCATCTAATAGCTTCTCAGCAAATGCTTGCTAGGTCAATTAAAAAAAAACCTCAACTTGTTCCGTTGTTATCTGCTATACTCATAGTGCCATAGGAGTCTTAGGATTCCCAAAGTAAGAGCATTGTCAAAGTTTTCTGATCCTGGGTGTGAAGATTTGCTCATTATTGAGAAACTTTAAGGATTTCTGTACCATTCCAGTTGAAATTCACCCACTCAAACTGAAAGGAGAAATCTCAGTTTAAAATAGGGAAATGACACGGAAGAGAGCACACAGTCACCGGAATTCTACGCATTTCATGTAATTCCCAACTTGGTGCATTTGGTGCTCTCTGGAGTATATTGGAATATAAGTGAGTGAGACAGATTAACTTGCATTTATCTCATTTAAAAAGTATGAAACTAAAAATTACTATCTTAACTAATACTAGCAACAAAACTTTTGGCAATGTATCCTTTCTTATCGGAGAATCTCTAAATTTACAGTCTCAGAATTATACAACAAATATTAAGCCGTGTGTTACAGTTATGTGCCAAGCACCAGGGATATGGCAACACTACACCCACAGACAAGTCTTCACCCCAGGATCCAGTTGCTCATGAGTGAGACAAAAGAGAGGTGACTGAGAAATAGAGTGCATGTTTACATTTTTTTAAATTGTCATAGTAAAAGACACATTGTCATTAATCTCCCTTAAAAGTTTTCCCCTTGCTTTCAGCACTCTGAAGTGGTTCTGGAAGTCCTCACTTGTGGCTATCTTTAGTTGTGTTGGTGTTGCTGACTCGGTGTCCTCAGTCCATTCCAAAGCACTTTAATCAGCATTTTGACCTCGGTAATAACCAGGAGACGAATAGTGATAGATCTGGTGAAGGAGGTGAGTGAGGACGCACACAAATACTTTTATGAGTCCGCCTTTGCATTGAGCGATGCTCAGCAGCCTTCACTGTAATTTTTGATCACACATCATAACAGACACTCTTGAAGATTTTCACAACTGTTTCAGAAAAATGGCAATGATCCTATGGTAAGCATGTAGAAAGCAAGAGGGAGTATTTTGAGGGGGAATTAATGGCACTGTGTATTTTACTGTACTAATTTTAAATTTTTTATCATTCACCATACATTTTCACCACTAGCATTGTATTTAAAATAAGAGATTATCTTGAAAAATATATGATCAAAATGATAATTTTAGGGCTGGGGATTTAGCTCAGCGGTTCGGTGGCCTGCCTCGCAAGTGCAAGGACCCGAGTTCGATACCCGGTACCAAAAAAAAAAAAAAAAGATAATTTTATATATGGAATCATGGGGAAATACTTTTTTTGCACTTCCTTGGTGGGGGAAATATACATTTTACTTATTTTGAGTTTCTTTATATTTGTTATAGAAAAAGTGGACTAAAGGATGCTTCACAAAAATATGAGACTGTGGACTATCTAGTTCTGATTTTGAATCTGGATTAATAGTTCTTCTGGCATCTAGAAGACTGTTGTGTATTTTCTGATGTTTTATCGTCTCCATATTTATGTGATAGGAATAAATATCCCCTTTTCCCTTCATCTTATTTCTCTGGTCTCTTTTTATTGCCTGGTAGGTTGTAGATTTATTTCTGGTATGCTGTTTTCATTTTAATTTCAGATTCCCTAATTCTCAGCACTATTAATGCATTTCTACATGTATGATATGAAATTTACCAGGGGAAACACGCGCTAAATTGGGTAATGTAGGAATAAAATGGCTTTGAACTTAGATATTTGCTTCAATCTGGCGTATTCTAGTGATAGGGTTTTTAATTATATCAGGCCCCTTTTCTCAAGTATATGGTGAAAAGAATAGTTGCCACTCCCCAGGGCTATGTACAGGCTGAGATCACAAATAGGAAAGAGGCTAGTACAGTAAACAGGGAATGCTTGTAGGGGCAAGGAAATAAGGGAAAAGAAAAAATATGAGAAAATGAAAAAATGGAAATAAAGAGTTTGTTAATGGGGAGGGGAGGAGGGGGGTGAAGGGAGGGCAGGGACAAGGGGAAAAAGTGAGAACCAAGACCTGTCATGTAAAGGTACAGGATCCCAGTAATGAATGTAACTGTGATGTGGACCTAGATTGTACCAACAAACTAAACAAAAACAAAAACAAAAAACAACCAGGGAATGCTTAATAAATATCACCTCCTCTTTCCTGACTTTATTGTTGTGCTTTCTGTACTTTTCTATGGAGGGAAAACATAGTAGGTAACCTCCTTCGTTCCAGTCTCCCTACCCTGATTAAAGGAAGTTTATTTTCCATGGAGTTTGGGTCCACACTGGAGAGAGTCAAGCCTTACTAATCTTGAAATGCCACACACTTTGGTACCTGGTTGCTCTGTGGACAGACATGTAGGTTAGCTACCCACCTGTTAAAGAGTTAGGACAGTTTCCTAACTTTTCTGTTTTAAGGACAAGGGGATAGGAAATAATCTTCAAAGATCAAATTATAAGTAATCTCGGTCACACACATATAGTTTTTTAGTATAAATGCTTTTAATTAGTGAGGATGCAGAATTTACAAAACATGTTTATCTACCTATTTAGGGACCACCTTGAAGTTTTTTTGGGCTTCTACAAGACTGGAGCAGATTATCTAATAACTCTCACATTTTATGATTGAATAAATTCTGTTCTGTTTTAAGCATTACAGGTAGAAATATGGACACTATTATTATTTTTAGAGAATGAATCAAACAGCTATGAATAGTATAAGATGGACTGTCATGAGCATTATAAAAGAAGTTTCAGGACAAATAAAATGTCCTGTAAATCTTGAATAAAAAGCAGGTAGTTTTAGGAAAGACTTCGAAGAACAAGTAATACTTTAATATCACAAGTAAGTATGTTGATAAAATATGAACTAAGTCTAAGTGACATTACTTATGCAGATATTTTGATTGAACTGATTAATGTTTTTCTTAAATTTGCTTTTGCTTTCAGAAGTCAAAAAGTACCCTGCATTTTGCAGTGTATAGTCACAAAGGTGTCCCATTTACAAGGAAAAAGACTAATTTTGCACAGGACTGTGAGACAAGAAAGGTGTATTTGCTCCATTATACTTTCTTCTATTCCTTCACAATAAACTTCACACTCAGGTCACAAATTTATAGTTAGTGATGATATATTGTATTCAAGAAAAAAGCTGAGAGTGGTAATTAGCTATTGGATCACAAAAATGATAACTGTATGAGGTGATATATGTTACTAGCTAGATTTAACCACCTGCAATGTATATATACTTCAAAACATCATATTGTATAATGATAAACAAAAACAATTTTATCTGTCAATTTAAGAATAAATGAATTAATAAGTGAAAAGACCAAAGCAAAGAGATGAACAAAATACAAGCTCATTTAAGTTTCTGAGAAGTATCATTCTAGGCTATCAGTTTATCAATTTACATTTCCACAAAGAAAAAAATAAGACAATATTTTGCTATCATTGCTAAATCAAACTTTGATCTATTTTGTAGGTATATTCTTACAGGAACTAACATTTATTGCATAGTCATAGTGTGGTAGATAGGGTGAAAATAGTATTACATACATTTTTTCAATTGGTCCTCATGACTAATTATAAAG